CTTTCTCCACTATCCCTGGGCCTGGCGGCTGGAGACGGAAGCAAAACTAACACACCATCCCAGGAAGTTATCGGGAGGCAGATAGAGGAAGGAAACAGGAGAACTACAAGGGGGAAGAAGGAGAAATCCAAGACGAGAGGTGACCCCCGGGCGGAAAGCCCTATCCCTCTTAGCGAAAGGTCTATCCTCACTAACACTCTAAGAGTGTTAATTCTATTTCTTTTTTAATGCTGGTCTGACCTACTAAGTCGATCACAGACCCACTAGTGGTTATGGTCTGCAGTTCTGAAAAACACTGGCTCCTTGTACCTGCTGCTTCTGCCTCCAACAATAAAAACATCCCAGAGAGTGTACTGGCCCTGTGTCCATGTCCACATGTGATACACTAAGGCACACAGCCTGGCTAGTGGGGAAATACCAACAGAGTCCCAGGGCCCTCACTCACACTAGGATCTCTAATCAGGTCAACTCTCTACACTCTGACTCCGGAAGAAACATCTGTTCATTTATTTATTTACTCACTTTGCACATGCATTGAGCACCCATTCAGTGGTGTGAACATATGACAGATTCCTGGGGGTTGTCCAGAGCCATAAATTCTGTCTGCAAGTTGGCTCAGAGAAGAGGAATGCAGGACAAGGCCTGTGTCCTGACTGTTCACCATCTCCTCCCCTCCCTTAAGGGCCCAGGAATGTCTCCAAGACCAGATCTGGACAATGATTACTTCATTCCCAGCTTTTGGAAGTAAAATAAGTCTCAAGTTCAGCCCAGAAAAAAGGAATAAAAGGAATTTCTTTTTCTCCCTTGCTCTAGAGGTCTCTGGTTAGCTTTCAAACTAACCGATGACTGGGAGACCATCTGAATTCCTTGTCCACTATTTTCTTCTTAATAATTTTTTCTGCCCACCAAATAGCAAAAACATCAAGAAAGAGTAGAAGGGGCCAGATGTAGTGGCTCACGCGCCTGTAATCCCAAGCCTTTGGGAGGCCAAGGGTGGGCAGACTGCTTGAGCCCAGGAGTTCAAGACTAGCCTGGGCAACATGGTGAAATTCCATCTCATCAAAAAAAAAAAAAAAAAAAATTTAGGTGTGGTGGCATGCGCCTATAGTCTCAGCTACTTGGGGAGGCTGAGGTAAGAGGATTCTATTGACCCAGGAGGTGGAGGTTGCCAGTGAGCTGAGATCGTGCATAGCACTCCAGCCTGGGGACAGAGCAAGGCCCTGTCTCAAAAAAAAAAAAAAAAAAGAAGAAGAAAAGAAAGAAAAGAGGAAAGAAAACGAAAGGAAGAAAGAAAAAAAAATAGTAGAGGTTAATTGATATTAACACTGCTAGTGCAACTTGGTCTTAGATCTTCTTCTTTCTGGATCTCTTTTCATATAGCAAGCAAGCAAAAAGCAGCCCAAACATCCTCTCCTTTATTTATCTCATGCCCTTTTTCCTCAACTATTCCAAAAGAGAAGAGCAAGAGCATGGAAGAGAAGCTACAGGTGGTGTGCACCTGAAGTCCACCTACTCAGGAGGCTAAGGCAGAAGATGCAATTCGTAAGCCAGGAGCAAGGCTGTGGTGTGCTTGATTTGCACCCGTGAAAGAGCCACTGTACTGCAGCTCCTGCAACATAGCAGGACCCTCGTCGCTTAAAAACAAAGAGCATGGAGTAGGACTTGTGGGCTGACACATAATGGATGGATTTCTTCCATCTCTTCAGAGTCTTCATAGCTGGGGATGTGGCAGGCTACAGACGAATGGGGTTTGGGCAACTGGGGTTTGGCCAATAGCAACATCTGTATTTTAATGTGGCAAAAACACTCATGCCTGGACAGGGAAGTTAGAGAGGGGACTGGGAACAAAACTAAATGACCAACTGTATTCTAAACTGAAATGAGTTTGAAGAAGAAGCCATAATCTAGCTGCAGTTTGGGTTAGCTCTACCTCCAAGAGCAGGATGAGGCAGGCAGAGGGTAACAGAATCAGATTGGGAGGGGGGAATGATACACAAGTCCCCATCCCTGTTGTTTCATTTTCACTCCCACCCACAATAGCTTGGAAACTGATGAAATAGTACACACCTAATCTGGCTTAAGTTCCCAACAGAGCCTAGAAACAGCACAAATTACCCTCCCTCAGCCTCTGGAGAGGAAAAACCATATGGTCAGCTAGCGTGGGGAGAACAGTGACTGGGAGACAGAGAAACAGGAGAGCGGGGTAGACTAGCCTGCACTGGAGAAAACCCCCTTTCTCCGCAACCCCCTCTCCATCCAGAAGCCCTCGCTTGGGTCACTTCCCTCCCCTTTCTCCACTATCCCTGGGCCTGGCGGCTGGAGACGGAAGCAAAACTAACACACCATCCCAGGAAGTTATCGGGAGGCAGATAGAGGAAGGAAAACAGGAGAACTACAAGGGGGAAGAAGGAGAAATCCAAGACGAGAGGTGACCCCCGGGCGGAAAGCCCTATCCCTCTTAGCGAAAGGTAGAGTCCCTAGCCAATCTCGGAATAGTTTGGGTCCTACCGTCCCCCACTTGCCCCCCACCCTCCAGTGCAAGCCCTGTAATTTACTCTACCCTTTTTCTTGTTACTGATCATCCAAAGCACCATGATGAAATTCTTTGGAGGGCCTCTGAGGTCACCAGGACCCTCGACCCACGGGAAAGCCTAAGCCTCCTCGGCAGGACACAATGTCCAAAGGCTCTCAGGGACCCAGTCCCTTGAGCTCATTCTCTTATGACCCAATCTGGCTGCCCACAAGACGCCTCAGACCCGCGGCCCAAGCACGGGCTCGGCGGCGCCGAGTCCCAGGCAGGAGCCGCAGGGTCCTAGCAAAGGGCAGGGACGCGCGAACCCTCCAGCCTCAAACGAGTCTTCACCCCGCGACTCCCACTGCCCGTCGCAGGCAAAAGAATAAAAAGAGAGAAGCGCCGCGCAGGGCTGACCGCGCAAGCCGGGCACCAGGTGATGTCAGCGAACTCGGCGTGGGGCAAGGAAGGGGCGGACTTAGAAACCGGGAATACAAAACGGGGAAGACGGCGAGGGTGCTTTTTCTTACCGCCGCCTGGTCCTCTGGGTGCACGTCCACCAGGGTACACCAGTTCCGCGTCCCGTTCATCTTCCCTCGGGGTCGCAGCACACACGCCACCTCTTCACCCCGCTGTCCGGCTCCAACTGCGCGGGCGCGCGCGGAACCGCCCCCTTGTATAGGCTCATCAGGGGCAGGGCTGAAGATAGGCCACGCCCCCAGTTCACGGTTTCGCCGAGAACGAGCGACAGGCGAGGAGGTGAGGTGGGCGGGGCCAAGGGGTCTGGGATATGCCCCATCCGTGCTCGCCCGGATTTACACAAAGGTGGGGCTTGGGAGAGACATGGGGTTGCTTTAACTGAACAGCTTTATCTAGAATATGTGGTTGCACTTCAACATTCTTCATTAATCTTGTCGCCTTCCATCTCCAAGATCAGTGTTGATCAGAGGGAATCACCCTGCCTGCTCCTAGAGGATGAGGAGTTGGAACCTGCAAAAGCTTCCTTCCATACATGCTCCTCTCCCTATACGTAAACCAGCTTGTAGGCTTTGTAGAGCTGAGTAAACCTTTCCTCCACCGCAGAAAGGCAGGCACCAAGGGCCAGCTCACTCAGACTGGCCTAAGCCAGTCTGGCAGGTGCACTTCCTTGGCAAGAGGCCCAGGAGGCCCAGTCAGCTAGGCTCTGGGTGGGGCTTGTTTGCTTGTTTTGCAGAAGCTCTTTTACTGACGCTGCCCTTATATGGTTGGGAGAGGCGGGACACATTGCCTTAAAAGGAATTTGTGTTCGTGAGAAAGGATGAGCCTTGACTTCTCCAGTTGCATTTTCTCCCCAAGCCTAGGCTGGGATCTTGAGGGCCTAGAAGAGAGGGTTGGCCAAGCAGGACCCTGGAGCATCCTCCCCTCCCAGCTGCTCTTGGCAGATGGCTGCTTCACTTGGCTATGGTCCACACAGACAGCAGACAGAATACTTCAGGAGGAGGTCTGACCCACTCCTGAGTGGATAGTACCCCTATACCTGGCAATAGGCTCTAGAGAAGGGCCAGCTCCCTCTTCAAGGCAACACTAGGGCAGGAACAGCAGAAATGTCCCTACCTCCCAGTTAGGGACTGGGTTCTATGCCAGTTAGGAATGAATGGGGATTTTTCTACCTGGGAAGTGAATGCTGGGGTTATCACTATGACCCAAGGGAATAAAACCCAGTTCTGGTCTGTCCTACTCTAACCCTCAAAAAGGCATTTACTGCTGGCCGGGCACAGTGGCTTATGCCTGTAATCCCAGCACTTTGGGAGGCCGAGGTGGGCAGATGACAAGGTCAGGAGTTTGAGACCAGCCTTACCAACACGGAAAAACTCCATCTCTACTAAAAATACAAAAATTAGCTGGGTGTGGAGGCATGTGCCTGTAATCCCAGCTACTCAGGAGGCCGAGGCAGGAGAATTGCTTGAACCCGGGAGACAGCGGTTGCAGTGAGCCAAGATCACGCCATTACACTCCAGCCTGGGCGACAGAGTGACACTCAGTCTCAAAAAAAAAAAAAAAAAAAAGGCATTTACTGTCCTTGCTCTTCCCAGAATGTTGTTCAGGAGAGAATGGGGCTGCCATAAACATCTCCAGGTTTCCTAAGTCCCACCTGCTCTGTTATAAAGGGCCTCTGAAAAGCAAGGTGAAGAAAACTCTAGCTCTGGCCCCTAAACTGTACAGTTAATATGACTTCAAAACACCTGGACCTCCAAATAAGCCAAGAAAAAGAATGAGAAGACAAATCAAGGATTTCAATATAAATGTATAATTTTAATATTTAATTTAAGATAAAACCAAGGCTGGACTGGATTGGAAAAGAATGTCCAATTTGCGGAAGAATATAGGATTTTTTTTTAATCACGACATTACAAGTCATTCGTGAAAACAGCCTTCCTCCTCCCACCGGCTCCCTATACAACCTGCTTAGGGAATATGAGACGTGAATCATCCCCTTACCTATTCCCTACCAGGACTTGGTTCTCCCCAAAATCCAAAGGAGAAATAAATGTCTTCCGTTGTCTCTTCCCATTTTTACAGTCAGCTTCTAACCCCTTGCAAAGCCCTGAATCAGGGCCAAGCACCTCAGAAAATGAGGGTCCCTTGGTTCTTTTATCGAAGTTGGGTACATCTGGTCAGAGAAGCCCCAAGGAAGGCAACAGGGACTGACACCTTTACTTTTGGAACTTCTGCAGACAGTTGTCAGGGCTCCCAGGTGCAACCACCTTATAACCATATCCACAGTCACAGAGGAGGGAGAGGAGGAAGGATGGAAACCCTGAGCAGGACCAGACCCCTGCCACTTTATCATGACCCTACCAAAGTCCCTCTCCCAGCGGCTCATTGGCAGAGAAACCCCCAATAGCTCTCTCAATCAATCACTGGGGCAGCAGGGAAGGCTGAGGGCCCTGGCTGGGGAAAAGCTGGTCTTTGGAGAGGTATGAATGTGCAGATATAAAAGGCAAGAAGAGAATCCTTATCTCCTTACCCTGGCTAAGGCACTGAGAGGAAAAATGCAAGGTAGGAATGGCGAAGAGGGGAAAGGAAGAAGACAAAAATATAGGAACTGGAAGGATATGGGGACTACCACATGGGCCCCATACTTGTGCAAAGAAATGGGTAAAGCCATGCCTGCATGTCCGTTACCCATAACATTCCCCTCACCCTGCTCTAGAGTGGAAGGAAAATGAGTTGCAGGAATCCAGGGAGCACATTAACATAGGGTATTTCCCTGAGCCTTAGGGTTAAGGGCTAAAAAATAAAGCTTTGTACACATGGCGATTTCTATCCCTTCCTATCCTGCTCAGTCCCCATCAGCCTAATGCTGACCATCCTTCCACTATGAGAGAGATGAGGGAGGTGTCGGCACTTGAAGAAAGGGCTCAGTTGGCTTGACATATCCACTTCTACAGTGGAAAGTCCATCTATCAGCTTATTGCTGATGTGTTTTTTTATCACCATCATTCAGACCCCTCCCTTTCTTAGGTCTGAATAATTGGGTCACCCATAGGAATGTGGAATCCAGGGTGGGCAGAGCAGAGCAGCACTTGCTGGGATAGGCCTTGAGCCTGGTTGCTGGGCCCTTGAGGACCACGAGCTAACAGGAGCTGGTCTGTAGGTTGCTCTCCGTAAGCAGTGATGCAATGGATGAGGGATCGTAGACACTGTCGAATTCCTCATCTGAGCTCAGCCCTTCATGTTTGAGAGCTGACTCAGCAGCTGAGCGGGAAGCTTTGCGCCTGACTCAGAGAGAAGAATAATGGTTAGGGAGGGGAAAAAAGAAATATTGAGACAGCCACCCTTTTTGTGCAAAAGAAATCCCAATTCTTCTAAGGCCTAAAGTTTACTCACAAAATCCCCAACTAATCAGATTTGGGGAGATGAGGTACAGAATAGTCGCTGAGATACTAAGAAATAAATATACTAGCTTCCGACCAGAAACAAGTGACTACACAGTCCCATCTTAGAGATTCTCCTCCTTATCCAGCACAGGAGAGACCATTCCCTCCCTGCTCTAGTGTCCCTATGGAGCAAGGGCAAAAGGGCAGCCCATACCAGGAGTCCTTCTCCAGAGACTTGATCCGGGCCTGGAGCTGTTCATTGACCTCATGCTGCTCCTCCAGCTCGCGCTGGGCCTTCTTCCTCAGGCCATCCAGTCGCTCAATTTCCTCTTCTGCTTCATCCACCTGACGCTTCAAAGCCTTCACCCTCAGGCTTAGCTGGGCAGGATACCAAGTCCACACATTGGAATAGCATCTACTACCATGGCCTGGGACCCTCCCCCTTAACAATCTTGACAAGGGATAATTGCCGCTGGAAAAATGTGGCCTTGGGCAAGTTTCTTAACCTCACAGGGTTGTCTTAGGGATTAAATGTATTAACACATGTGTAATACTTACAGAACCTAGCACATCATAAGGACTCAATATATATGCTTACTACGACTTCTCTAGTCTAGTCCTTTCCATCTAATCTCTGTCCTTATACAAGGAAAGTCTATGTTTGGAAGACCTATGGGGGATAAGGGCCTCCCTTGGCTTTCAGGAGAACATATAATATATACTTGCCCCGGGTTGCTTGGCCCCAGGGTGCCATGTTCTCACCTGGTCTTTCTGGTCATTGACATGCTGCCGCTCGTCTTCAATCTGGATGGATAGCTCTTTAACTTTCCGCTCCAGTTTTCGATTGGTAGACTGCAGAACTGTCTTCTCCCTAAGGTGAGATAGAAGAATGTCTATGAGTGACCCCGTTTCTAAGGGAATCCTAACTTGGCCCCCTACTGTCCCCAAGGACTTCTCTCAGTCATGAGCCCCACCGTTAGACTGGGCAGGATCCAGGGCAGATTCAAAGAACAAGGGAGAATGCGGTCATTCACATTTCAGAATTTTTGCAACTCTCTTTGCTCTCTACCAGGAGAAAAGGTTCGCTAAAGATCAGGCCAGGTTGGCCACATCTGAGGTGGAAGATGGAGGGAGCCATAGAAGAGAAAAGCCAAGAAGGAGGGAGGAAGAAAAGGAGGGAGGGAGGGAGGGAGGAAGGATAGGCTTATGTCACCTCTCTTCAGCCTGTAGCCGCTCCTGCAACAACTGATTCTGGGACTCAAGCTGAGAGAGGCTGGCACTGGGCTTCTGGAAGCCTTCTGAGCTGGCCAACCGGGTCTTCAGGTCTTTGTTCTGAGAGAGATAGGAAGCCTCCACAGTTAGCACTCCACTGGCCACTTTACCCACCTCCTGGGGTCCATCCCTAAGAACCCTCCCCTCCCCACTCACCTGTCTCTCCAAGGAGATTTTGTCACACTCCAGGTCCTGCCGAGCAGACCTCTCCTGCAGGAGCTCTGTCCTCAGCTGATCTACCTAGTGGGGATGGGTGAGAGGACGAGACTTGGGGAGGGCTAAGGATGAACCAGCAAGCTGAACCAAGTGAGGCTGAGTCATGGGAGGATGGTCTCTGAACCCTGAATCCAAAAATTCCCAGGCAACTAAAAAAATCACAGCATATTCAAATGGGAGGAGCCAGAGAATGTAAACAGGGCCTCCTTCGTCCCACCAGGAACTAGTATCCCTTGTAAACTAAAGAAGCCCCAATTCAGGTCAGAGAGTAGCCCAGGCCACCAGGATCCCTTCCTGCACACAAATTATTGGCTTCTTTCCACCCAAGGAAACTGGTCAACCTTTCCCAAAGCAGACGAGACCCTGAAACAGACCCAGCCATGCACAGATTCGGCAGCCAGATGATGAAAGATGGGAGGGTAGAGTTGTTTTTGAGAGAACCAAGAGGTGATGTAGTCAGGGGTAAACAGAGATGAGGGATAAGGAGGGGGTTACCTGGTCCCGGCCACGATTCACCCGGTCTGTTAGCAGCTCCACAGTGTTCTTCTCCTCATCTAACTCTGCTTCCAGCCGTGAGACTTTTTCCTATGACGGAAGAACAAGTTAATTCTGTCCCAAATGCTGGACACCAGAATGCCAAACTCAGACCAGGAGCCTCTCAAACTCCAGCTCTCTCTTGCACATCCCCGTAACCTTTTGGTACTTGCCGGGGCCCAGAGCCACCATGGAGCCAGCGCCCTCTGCTGACCAGATGTGGCATCACGGGTAGGTTGGGGCCATGCTCTGGTCACCGCCCTTTGACAGACAGGCAAACCCCAGAATCTACTCTTCATTGGAAAACCCTATTTCTCTAATGGGAAAACAGAGAGAAACGCAAGTACCTGGGCCAAGGCTGAGATGAAGAGACTCAGAAACTGAGGCACTGGAGGCAGTACCATGTAGAGGCTAAGAGTATATACATGGGACCAGACTGTCCAGTCTGAAAATCAGATTTACTGCTTCCTAGACCATGGACAAGTTCATCTCTCTGTGTCTCAGTTTCCCTCACCTGTAAAATGGAGAAAACAAGACTACCTACCCCACAGAGTTATTCTGAGGATTAAGTCTTAACTGCCTATCACACAGCACAATATGTTTGCTGCTGCTGTTATTATTATCAAATATCGCAAACTGAAGAATACTGTTCACTCTAAAGGGGAAACCCACTGCTCAGCTCCAGCCAACTGTTGCCATGCAGACTCAGGACAAGACACTCAGTATTACCATATCTGCCAAATACAAAAGAAACTAGAAATCCAAATTTTTAGGTGACATCTATAAATTTCTAAACATTGGCAATTGATTCAAAGTTGTTTAAAATACTGCAGCCGAACAAAACTCATCAACTGTGGGCTGTCGGTTTTGACCGCTAGTACAGAAAGAGGCTTGGAAGTCCCACCCCTTTTCCACAGGTCACACCCCAGTGCCCTCACCTCGAGGCCCTTCAGCTGCCGGGCCCTGTCGTCCTGGGAGCGCTTCTTGTTCTCTGCCTCTTGCTCCAGCCCCTGCAGTCGCTGGGCCAGTAGCTCTTTGTCCAGCCGGGCTGTGTCCCGCTCAGCCTGGGATGCCTGCAGGGCCTGCCGCAGCCTCTGGATCTAAGCAGGGGTAAAAATGCCACAGCTCAGTGTAGTAAAAAGGTGAAGGTTGAAAGGCAGGAGCAGTCCAGCCCAGTGGGCAGAAACATTTCATCACTGTCACTCTTTAGAATTACCAGTGGCATGGTGACAATAAAAAGCAGACTGATTTTTCATCCATTTTCTTTTCTTTTTCATTTTTTAGATGGAGTCTCATTCTGTCACCCAGGCTGGAGTACAGTGGCGCGATCTCGGCTTACTGCAATCTCCACCTCCCAGGTTCAAGCGATTCTCCTGCCTCAGCCTCCCAAGTAGCTGGGACTACAGGCATGCGCCACCACGCTTGGCTAATGTTTTGTATTTTTAGTAGAGACAGGGTTTTACCGTGTTAGCCAAGATGGTCTTGATCTCCTGACCTTGTGATCCGCCTGCCTCAGCCTCCCAAAGTGCTGGGATTACAGGCATGAGCCACTGCACCTGCCCTCATTCATTTTCTTTATTGTTTCTGTTTTTGTTTTTTTTTGAGACATGGAATCTCACTCTGTTGCCCAGGCTGGAGTGCAATGGCACGATCTCGGCTCACTGCAACCTCCACCTCCCAGGTTCAAGCAATTCTCCTGCCTCAGCCTCCTGAGTAGCTGGGATTACAGATGTCTGGGTTCAAATCCTGGCTCTACCACTAATTAGCAACCATAGGCAAGTTACTTATCTTCTCTGGGTCTCAGTTCCTCATCTATAGAGAAACTGAGGCACAAGCCACCACTTCAAACCCAAGGATATTAGGCTTCTACCTCATCCTGAAGCCGGTTCAGTCCCCCAGAGGTCTTCTCAGCCTCACTCGCCCAATCCTTGGCCTGACGCTGGGCATCTGCCACCTCCCGCCGGGCCTTTTCCTTATAATCCTCCAGCTGGGCCTGGAGCTGCTGCAGGGCTTGCTTAGAGTCCTCCCCGATCTTCTCCAACTGAAACACAGAGAAAAGGGTCTCAGCACTGTATATAAATGTCCCTCTCCAGGCCCAGACTCCCAAGACTCTCCCCCAAGGGTCTCCTTCCTGACAAGGTAGCCTTCTCTTGCTCTTTCCTGGACCTAGGTTCCTAGTATAGCTAATAGTTATATACAGATGTCTGGGTTCAAATCAAGATTGCTTCAAGCCAGGACCGGTTGAGGGCTGCAGTCGAGCTGTGACTGCCCCACTGCAATACACAAGGACTGTCAAACAAAAAAAATCTTCATGTGGGTCACAGAATGTTTAGAATTCGGTTCGAGGGACAACGAAGAAAGAGAAAAGAAAAAGAAAAGCGAACATTAATGCTTTTGGCTGGTAGGTCTTCCTCCCAATTTTTTTTTTTTTGTTCGCTAACACAAAACGAGAACAACCTAATCAGAGTTCCGCATCAGATCTAAAGTGCGCATTTTAATCATTTGTCAATAAAAAATGCACATCTTTTATCACTTTCCTGAAATAGCAGTTGTGTCTTATAACTTTATGGTGATGTTTATAGTTCAAATTGGCAAGATGTTTCTTTTCTCTTTTTTTTTTTCGACGACAGATTCGCCTCTGTCCGCACGGCTGGAAGTGCAGTGGCCGGATCATCCAGCGCTCACCTGCAAGCTCCGCCTCCCGCGGTTTACGTCATTCCTCCCTGTCTCAGGGCTCCCGAGTAGCTGGGAACCTACGAAGGCCGCCCCGCCACCGGCCACCTCGCCGGCTAGTTCTTTTGTAATTCTTTTTAAGTAGAGAGCGGGATTCACGTGTTAGGCCCAGGGATGGTTGGCCTCGACTCTTTTCCTGGCTGCGTGATCTGCCCGTCTCGGCCCCTCCAAACAGTGCTGGGATTAGACAGCTTGAGCCAACCGCGCGCCCGGCGACCTCCAAATTGGCAGATTTTTCCTTAGTTGTACGTCTGAATAATCATCTGGCAGCCTTCTGGGTTTGGACGTGAATAATGGTGCATTCTTAAGGCGGGCTTACTCTTGTATCAGGCAACATGTCTGTAAGTACAGAACTTCAACATAAATTACCCGGCGCGGACTAACCGTGATTCTCACAACACACTTGCTGATCAGTAGGCTACGTATTCTTATCAGCCATTTTACAGTTGGCCCGGAACGCGGGGGCGGGGGCTCGAAACGGAAACCCAGAGAGATAAGTAAGCTTACATATGGTGGCACTAAGTAAGTGGTAGAGGCCAA